CCGAGGGGAAAGCCGATATGCTGTACACCATAACCGGCTGGCGTCTTTGGTGACCACGATGTAGATAAAGAAGTAGAAGTAAACAAGTCCAAGATGTGCCTGACCTCACGTTTGAGGAATTCATGGAGACTATGGAGGTACTCGTAAAGCATGGTGTTACCACTGAAGAAAATCAAGATCAACTCGTGCTTCCCGATGACTACTCACTGGTCCTTACCATCCCGGCCAGTATCAAAGACGCACCAGGATTAGCATCCGTCTTTCGAAGGAAGTTCGGTCGAGTTGCAGAACTTCAATGCCAAGTTCCGGCTCCCGGGAAAGCCTTGAAACTCCAGGATGCATCACGTTACCTTTTCTACCTGGTAACAAAAGACACTACCCGTGACAAACCTACCTACCGAGATGTATGGGAAGCCTTACTTCAATTAAGAGAGCACGTACTAGAGTCCGACGTGCAAAAGTTAGCCATGCCAAAGTTAGAGTGCCGCCAATTAAATTGGAGGGTTATCCGAAGTATGGTGGAGGTGATCTTTAAAGACACCGAAGTCTAGGTGTTAGTCTGTTGCAATCCGCATAGTTACTGACGCAGAGAGAAAACCGTTCCTTATAATTTTTATACAACTGGAAGTTCTAAATGAGGGTCCAGTTGCCGATACCAGCATACCGTCCCAGTTCCAGTACCGACGAGGTTCCAGGAGGAACCATATTTTAAGAGGTGGGCAATGTTACGATAAATATGATTCATATTTATCCTGTAAACATTTTATTATTCTAACAAGTAGTTTCTAGTAGGTTCTCCGATCCGCTAAAAATCCTGTCTGGCGTTCCATCTTATTCTAGAAGGGTCAACACTGGTCACCATCCGAATTCGAAGGGACTCTAGAATAGCGGCTACTATTAACAATTCAAATTCTTCAGCTGCTTCTTTCTGCACCTTTTCCACGCTTCATTTATATTTTCATGTTTTAGTCTGGTTTCTAGTTTGATGTCAATATTTTGTTTATATTCTCTTTTTTTGTTTATATCTTTAAGTCCTTCTACATTGTATAATTCATGTTTAGACCTTATTTATTTTTATTTGTTTAAAAAATTCTGGCCCTTACACTACTTTCGACCCGTTGTGATTAGAATCCGATTTGCTTTCCTAGCGCGGACGTTTATTATATTAGATTGGTGATTGGTGTCTTGAGTCTACAATAATATGATCTATCATATTTACTGTAAGTCCATCTGGTGATTTCCAGGTGCCTCTGTACATCTTTTCGAGCGAAGTTAAAAATATTAGAATTTCTCAGAAATAAACTTCGAATCTTGATAATTACGTTTCGTTCTATTTACTACCTAATTCATAGAATCAGTTGCGGGGAGGATTGTATTTGTAACAGTATGATTCATGTAGGTAATGTATTACTCAATGTATAAATTTTTACAAATAACACGTTTTGGCATGATTTAAAAGACATATACGTACAGACCAAACAAATATCTGTGGTTGTTAGTACTCTTTCTATTGATAACCTAAATTGACGTGACTGAAAACTTATTTCATAAACTATGTAGATCTAATGTATTATTTTTTATTATCATAAGCCATGATACTATAACAACAAGATATGCTCACTTGCTGTTCTAATTTTAATTGACTTTGCACATGTCATAGCGAGACAAAGCCAGGGGACTTGTATGTATCATATTGTAAGATGCATCATATGGCGACGTTGTTCCATTACTGTAATTTTTGTCTATGACTGTAATGAACAACTTCAAAACTTAAACTGTTAACGGTAAGTATACCTCGATGCCATATGCATCGCCTCGATGCCACTAAGAAGTCATAACTAGTTACTTTCTGTGAAAACGTGTTTTGAAAATTAATAAGTAATTTGTAAAATTAATTAAAAAAATATATAAATCTACGATTTGATTGTGTGTATTACAAACAAAACAAATATTGCTACAAAAGATAGATTAAATATAAAAGGCCGGCAAAATGTAAAGAATTTGACCATAAAGGAAAAGCGGGTCAAACTTGAAACTTTTACAATCTTTGTGATTTTTCTTTTGCGGTATTGTAATTATCTTTAATATTTTGATTTGAAATTCGTATATTAAAATACATTTTACATCTAAAAAAAAGTAATTTTACATCTAACATTTACATATTTTGCAACTTCTATTAAGTTTTTTAAATAATTTTTTGTTATTTTTAATGTGTCGCCATTATAACTACGAAAAATATGTCCCAGTTCACTACATACTACATACATCCAAAGTAACTTTTTTAAAGACCTATGAAAAATAAAGTATTACTTCAAGTTCTATTAAAATGGGCATTATCCATAGAAACATTTGATCTGCTGTTATTAATATTAATATATTCATTCTCTGCTGTTATTAATATTAATTCTTTTTATTTAATAGAATTGCATCAAACGAAAAATTTTAATTTAATTTTAAAGTTTAACTTACTGTCCATGATACTGACTATAAGATAAGATATTGCGCATGTTTTTGTGACGTCATTGGAGACTTGCACGTTCGAAATGTCAGTTTTTGTATATATCAATAAATAATCTTTAATAAATAGTTTGGAGATATCCTTATGTGTACGATTATTGTAATTATTAAACATACAAATCTCATTTAACTTTAACAAGAATTCAAATTCTAGTCTCCAATGACGGCGTGCGCGAACCCGACCGATTTTGAGCTACGGGAAGATCCTATCTTGTTATTCATAGTCAATGACGTATAATATATAGACTATGCAGTCCCCTATTCTCGCTATAGAATCGAGTGTCCGAAAGATCTCGGCTCAAGGTTGAAGGTATGTTTATCACAACAGCGGCGTGCTCATTTATAATTTAATGACAATAATTCTTTTTTTAATTAAAATTAAATATTTATGATTTCTTTTTGTTCCCATCTATAAGAGAAATAATTATTTTGATAAAATAGTATGACATTTTACTAAAATAGTAAGTAAATAACTCTCAACAATTTAAAATAAAATTTGCTTGTCACACAAAATGGAGAAAATGTTTTCATACGTCCATGATGTTTCAAACACAAGCTCAACTTCGTGATGCTTCGTAAGAAATCATGAACTTCGTGCATCTTCGTATCAAAACAATAAACAATAACAAAGGTATTTATGTTTTGGACACTTTTTAAAGCGTTCACCGAGTCTATATATTAAACGTCATTGTTCATAGTATCATGTTACTGTCTTTAATTTTGACAATTTGGCATTTTGGCAAGTTGTCTCGGGCTTACGCCACAAGAACAAGCGCGTTGACTTATCTTGTTTTGTTAAGTATCATGGCACAGAATAATAAACAATCAGAATGTCCACTCTCAGATGCCGCCTTTGAAGTTTTTCACCACGCGCGCCATGTTTTAGAAGGAAACATATAACACAGACATATGATTTGTGAGGTTATGTAATTGTTTATATTTATGTTTAATTATATTATATTTATGTTATTATATTTAACAATGTTAATATAATTGTATAGTATGTCTATGACTGGAGTAAGTCAATTAAACCGGGTTAATTTTTCTATGTACACCACATAAACAACACTGGTTGTTTATGTGGAACTAAAACATGGCGGAACGTCTGCGCGAAGGAGATGCGCGTACTTAATTTTCCATGGAGAGTGGGCATTCTGATTGTTTATTATTCTGTGATCATGGTATCATCACAGAATATTATTATTCTGTGGTATCATGATCATAAGCAGAAAACATACGAGGAAACATATTTTTTACACGCCGCCAATTATTGAATTCAAAATTTCCGAGAATTCGTAATTGACATTTGATTTCGGCTATATTTGGTCACTTATGAAGTGATTTTAGATGACCAATTTAATTTTTTGTTTGCTATATAGACTGCAGTTGTTTGAAGGATTTCTTTATTATTCTGTGGTCGGGCTACCCCATGAGCACAGAATACATGTGGGTGTTGTTTTCTAAGTTAAGCTGGATTTATAGTTTGACGGACTGTAGACGTAGACGCACTGGAGACGTAACAAACGGGCTGTAAATATTATTTCAATTTATAAATCGACGGAGTGGAATTTTTGCGCATGAGTAGAAACAATGGCTAGACTGATGACCATGATACTATAATATACTTTTATTATTTATTATTGTTATTTTATAAATTCTTAACGTCCATGTAACAAATAATCAACAAAATCAAAATTCGAATATGTTGATGAGCAACTTTACAAAATTGTGGGCGGGCCAGACAGTTCACTTTGGTTGACAGCACAAAATTCCTTCCTTTTAATTGGCTAGACGCAAGTAACGTACTGTAAAAGATGAAAGTTGACCAACTCTTCCGTTACAGTGCGTTTCGCTTACGTCCCGTCATGCGTTTACGTTCATTTATAAATAAGAGTACACAAAAGCCTAAGTTGATCTTTTTCCAGTACGTCTGCGTCTACAGTCCGTCAAACTATAAATCCACCTTTACATTTTGCTGATAATTGATTTTCCTGAGTTTGGCAACACTGACTATTAGTTTCTGTTTTTTAAATGTCAAAGGTGACAGTGACGTTTATCTTGTGTTGATAAATTCTAAAATTCTTTAATATTTAAACAAAGGTTTAATAACGTAGGGTCTTTCAATAAATAATTTAGCGTAAGTTGTTTATTTTCTGTTAAAATATTGCACTAAGTTTTTAATTTTACATAAACTATGTTCCTATTATTTTTATTAGGCTTAAGTATGTGATACTAAAAATAACTATAAACAAGATTAAGTCACAGTTTAATGCTTTTATTTTCATCGATATACTGTGTACTTTTGTAAATATTTAAATGTAAATATTGTAAATATGTTTGTAACGTATCATTTAATTGGCTTTCATTTTTAAATATCCTTTGGACATAAATTTTAAAAGGTCAAATAAATGATACTTTAATATATATAACATATTATATACTATAAGTTTTTAAACTAATACTAATATTTATAATCCTTTTAGATGGAAGACGACGATCATGATGAACTACTACAATGCACAGATGATGAATCTCTGTCAGAGACAGAAGATCAATGTCTTCCTATGGACAAACCTGAAGAAAATTATACTCAAAATTTGTCATATTTCAGCCACACAAAAATTGAATTTTTAACAACAAAATTAACTTTAATTTTTTCAACAACTGTAATGTTAGTTCTTCTACCACTATACATTGATTCTATAAATGTTAAAGGCAATGTTTATTCATTAATTTTAACCAATACTGTTATTTCCACTGTAATATTTGTTATAACCATGGTAATTGCTAAATTTTTTTGTGAAAAATACAGGAATGTTAAAGTTTTAAACTTTCCAATTAAATTTTGGAAATTACTGCAGTTGTCTGGTGTTTACTTTTTGTGTGGATTTATGATAATTTATGCATTAGATAGAAAAAGAGTTGTTTGTCATTTACAAGATCCCATAAAAGGCATAGTACTGGTTTTCTCTCTCTTGTACTACTTTTTCTTCTGCAGAAAATGTAAGTATATCTTAATTTACCTAACTATTTTTGTAATTCTCTTGAATCCCTGCTAAACTTGTACTTAATAATTATAATTTTGAAGGAATTCATCTATCCTATTTATGTATCTGAAAAAAAAATGATATCAATTTATTATTTTAAACATGTGATACATATAAATAAAGCTAGATCTGTTGGACTAAATACTAAACAATAGTCCTTACAATTTACTTTGTAAAAATCATCTGATTGACTCTTTTTATTGATATTGGTTAAATTTTGAAAAATATCTAGGGAATACTTTTAGTGATTCATGCAATACATTGATGTTATATCTAGAAAGCATGATTGACAACTGCTCAGAAAAACCAAAAGTATGGCCATGATATGTAGTTTTTATGTGAATTAGTGGATCTATTGTTTTTATTGTTTTGTATCTTGTTATATAAGTTATTTACTTTTTTTATAATTGTTGGTAGAAGTATTTTTAATGATCAAATTATTTTTCTAATTAAGGGATTGTAAAATTCATATCAGTAATTAATCTATTCTAAATGGTGTTTGAGATTTTGAATTTGACCTAGATTTTTGGAATGATATTGTGGGGAGGGTCATCTAATTGCTTCAACAGACATTCACTATTTATAGGAAATTTGATTCTGAATAATATTAATTCAATCTATTTTTATCTTAAATATGATACTATCTGAGATATTCAGGATAGAAAGTTAAAAAATAGGGGTCAGTAAGGGTCCATTTTTTGTTCCAAAACTTTGTATTTTTTTTCCACAACTGTCTTAAAGTGTTCTAATTGTTCTCCTATAAAAATCTTAAGGTGTGACTCACTAAAACCAACTTAAGCTATTTTTGATGGATAAGTGACTGTGTAACAATTAATGCATAATCAGGTATTTTTCTTATATACATAAGTTGTCGATGTAGAACATTTTCATTACAGTGATTTAAACATTAAAGTGTTTAACAAGTATAATTTTCATATGTACTTAAAAATTTAAATATATATTTTTACATATTTTTTTTAGTAATGGGTCTACAGAGAATATTTTCAGCTACAACAATAGTAGTGGGTATATTTATAACGGTAGATTATGGATTGTGTGATGAATTTCGTTGCAGAGGATATGAACGAGAAAAGATTTCTGAAGATACTGGGGCCTGGAGTGGTCAGACCCATGCAATTTGGACAACTATTTATATTGCTGGTTTGGCTGTATTTGCAGCTTATTTTACATTATTGGATCGTTATATTTTAGCTAATAATGATCAGGTACAGTATTTATCATGCATATATAATTAAAAGTAAAAACAAAAAAATAATTAAAAATTCAAAATAGTGAAGGTCGTTATAAACAAATTACCAACAAAAGGGAAACTGTAATAAAAAAATCCCGTCAATGCCAATGAAAACCAGCCTAGAGTGACAAATAGTTAAAAGTGGGATATATTTTAAATATACAGCCAAAGGAATAATTTATAAGGAATTTAAATAGTTCAAAAAATATATTCTTAGTTTACAGAAGCACAAAATAATGCAACAATATAATACAGGAATACAGGATAAGGAAAAAACAAAAAAGAAAGCAACCAATGTGAACGGTGCTATGAATGAAGTATAAATAAATAGTGTAGTTATAAATTTTAGTTAAATTCTGAATTTCTATTATTTATTTAAAATATACTACTTTTGCTTATATATACCATTTCTAAAAAGGTCCTTTTGAATTTATTACCTTCATTGCACAAAATTATGTTGTCAAAATCCATGATATGGTCTTTTTCAATCACATGATTTGCCAAATCACTTTTGTGGGAAATAATGCAATTAGACAAATTCCTCCCAGTTTCACCAATATATACAGCCTTACACTGAGTACAATTGATGCTGTACACTGTATTAATTTTCTCTAACTTATCAATGGGATATTTGGTCTTAGAATACAGAAATGTAATGGTTTTGATGTTTTTTGTTGTTATTTTTACATTGTCAATAACCTTTAAAATTTTTATTAACTTAGGTGTTAATAATGATATGATGATGATATGTAACACCATATGTTTAGATTTTTTTAATTTTTCAAAAGCTTCTTCAGTTGGATTACTAACTCCTAAAATGTTGGATTACTATACTTACAAAACAATTTGTAGTTTGTCAAATTTTCTAGAAACTGTAAAGTTTATCAACATATAGAGAAAATATCTTAACAAAAAACAAAATTAACTACAAGGCACCAGAGTCCAATAATTTAATTGTCAGGTGAATTTAAATTTTACAGATGACTACATTTGGTTTTCTTGTGGTGATAACCAAAAAGACACTGCATCTTGTTTGTTCAGAAAATAGGAGCATAAACACATGTGTTTATTCTATTTCTTAGTGAGTGGTATTACCTTCACTGTGCGAATTGTTAAAAAGAAATTGGATGTCCCTTCTCCCTTGTTCGAAGGGAGGTTTTGAATGGCAGAATAAATTGACTATTTATTGAGTTGGGATATGGGATTTGATGTGATTCTTATTTATAGTGAAAGATAAGTAGGTGATAAATCTTGCTCAAATTATCTTTGTCAGTTCGTTTTTTAAGGGCTGATGATGTTTAAGAATGTGGCACATTTCTAGGAGAGATCTCTTATGATAATTTTGTTGTTTGGTCAGTATTTTGACGTTTGTGAAGTCAATTTCATGTTTGGTTGAGATGGAATGTTGTGTTCAGGCACAAGAGGGTTTCGAAATCCCAATGTCGCTTTTTATGAGAAGTTGGATGCCCTTGAAGAGAGCGGCCAGTCTGGCCAATGTAGCAGAAGTTACACTCTGTATAAGGTATGTGATAGACAACATTAGTATGTTCTAAAGGGGTCAATGGAGTTTTGGTCTTAGAAAACAACTTTCTATATTTCTGGTGTTTTTAGGGCTATTGTAATGGTTAAGTTTCTGAACAGTTTCGTGAGCTTATTAGTGATTTGGGGGAAGTACGGTAGAGAACCATATTTTGTGGATCGATCGTTCTGGGGTGGACGGGGAATTAAATAGATTAAATAAATATAAATAAACTAAATGGAAAAATTTAGTTTAAATTAAAAATAAATTAAATATGATTTAAATAGACGGTTTATAAAAATATCAACATATATATATATATATATATATATATATATATATATATATATATATTGTAGGCTCCGTTAATAAATAATATTGTTCTAGTTTTCTTAAGTTTATTTAGCGGAAAGAAACACTAATTGTACATAATTCGACATAATAGTTTTCATAACATTCAGATGGCCATAATTCATAATCACAAGTGTCAAGTCTAAACATAAAGTGTGTGGTTATCTTCTTTTTTTTTTTCAAATTGAGTGACAATCAGATCTGTCAATGGCGCGAAATTCAAATAAGACTACAGTTCGGCCATCCTGACACGTCTGATCGTCCTCGATCAACCTAATATTACAGTATATTAATTACATAACTAAGATATTTAACATTCATGACTTTCATAAGACATAACATAATGGATATTTGAAATGAACATTTTCCTTTAAAGTTTAAAACATACAGTAATAATAATAATAATTCATAATGAGTTAAATAAACAAATCATAATAATCATAATTCATAATGGTTTAAATAAGCAAGGCATAACATTCATAATAGTTTAAATAAGCACGACATAACATACATAATGGATTGAAGTGTCCATAGGGGTACAAATGGAAATCATAATATCCATAACACACCCTAACTGTCTCGATGTAATGGTACAAGTAATGGATTATAAATAAGCATAAACATAATTGAATAAAAATTAAACATAATTATTTTAACCCTAACTAATAATGAAATTGATTATTTATCATAAGCTCTAATCCTACTACTGTCTATAATTCCCTCATATGGTACTTGTGTTGTTTGGAACCCAACAATATCATTCACAATATACCTATCATTTGGTAGCTCTTTCACAATCTCATACGGTCCTCTAAATTTTGGTATAAGTTTTTTAGCTACTCCAGGGGTTGTGTCTACGTTGGAAATCATAACATATTGCCCCACCTTAAACTTTTGAGCCTCCTTATGCTTCTTGTTATAATACTGTTCATTTACATTTTGTGTCTTAATTATTTGTGCTTCTGCCTTAGTTCGAATCATTTCTAAATCCCGTTCTTCCTTATCAATATCTTGTAATGCTTCTCTTAAATTATCCCTAATCTTTCCTATTTGATCTCTTCCAAAAAGTAACTTAGCTGGGGTTTCTCCTGTTGATCTGTTTATTGTATTATTGATGCAGAATTCCACTTCATGTAATGCATTTGGCCAGTTGATTTGTTTTTCATCGGTTATCTTTGCTAGAAGAGGTGTCAATAACCTGTTCATGCGTTCTATTTGCCCATTGGCTCTCGGACAACCACTTGCAATCAGTATGTGTTTGATTGTATACTCCTCCAAAAATTTCTTAAAATCATGAGAGGTAAAACAAGATCCTCTGTCTGAACTGATAACGCTCGGTACACTATAATTGGCAAAATGTTCAGTTAAATATTTAATTACTTCTCCTGTATTTGTTGATTTGCAAGGATAGAACTTAATAAATTTAGTAAACCCATCAACAACTTCAAATATATATTTATTCTTATTAAAAGGAGCTAATGGCCCATAGTGATCAATATGAAGCATTTCAAAAGGTAAATTGCCCTTAGGTATACTATGTAGATATCCTTCTGATTTGGCACTTTTAGGATTGAATTCAATACACTTTAAGCAATTTTGAATATGATTTCCAATCTTAAATTTTAATTTTGGAAACCAATATGTCTTGGAAATAATTTCAAATGTTTTGTCTGTTCCGAAATGACCCAATTCATTATGATAGTGATAGATAACTGCTGACTCCATACTCTCTGGTACATAAAATGCAATGTTATCTTTCAGTTTTCTATATACTAACCCATTTCTTAATTCAAAGAAAGGATGATCTGTCTCCTCAAGTCTTTTTCGAAGATCTGAAATAACTGTATCCTTGGACTGTTTTAAAGCCAAAGTTTGTTCAATAGTATTTCCTTCTAATACCAGTACATAACTCACTCTGCTTAAGGCATCTACATGTTGCATTCTTGTATTTACTCTGTGCTCAATAGAGTAATCATAATTTTGCAATAACAAACACCATCTCATAATCCTTGGAATTATATCCTTTTTACTCATGGTTAAGCGAAAACTGTCACAATCTGTAACTATTTTGAAAGGGATTCCCTGTAGATAAACATGAAACCGTTTAAGTGCATACACAATACTCAAGCATTCAAGTTCGTAGCTATGGTAGCGAGACTCATAGTCAGTTGTTCTCTTGCTAAAGAAAAACACTGGGTGAAATTTGTCATCACTTTGTTTCTGAAGTAAAATTGATCCATAGCCTACTTGGCTTGCATCACAGTGTAGTTCTGTTTCCCTACTCGGATCATAAACTGCTAAAATAGGTTCTGATGTCAGGTTTGACTTCAAATTCTCAAAAGCTTGTAAATGTGTCATTGTAAATTCAAATTTGACATTTTTTCGTAATAGGTCATATAACGGCTTGGCGATGATAGAGAAGTTCTGTATAAAACGTCTAAAATAACTGGCAAGGCCTAAGAATCTATACACCTGCTTGGTATCTGTAGGAACTGGATACTCTGCAATAGCTTTCACATTATCTTTATTAGGACATATACCATTTTCATTAATCCTGTAACCCAGAAAATCTATTTCTGTTTTCAAAAATGAACATTTATCTAGTCTTAACTCAAGTAAATTCTGGCTAACTAATATTAAAACTTCTCTTAACACTTCTAGATTTTCTTCGATAGTCTGAGTAGCAATTAATATGTCATCAAAATATATTAAAACATTTCCTTGTTGGCACAAATCTTTAAAAATTTTATTAACAAACCTTGCAAAAATAGAGGGACTTGAGCTCAAACCAAAAGGTAATTTAAGAAATTCATACTGACCTGAAGGTGTAACGAATGAAGTATACTTAGTACAACTTTCATCTAAAGGAACATGGTAAAAAGCATTTTTCAAATCCAATTTAGAGAAATATTTCTTATTCTTTAACCTGTCTAAATGATCATCTATTAGCGGCAAGGGAAATTGATCTCTAATAAGATATTTATTTAAAGTACGATAGTCTACACACATTCGATATTCATTTGACTTCTTCTTGGTTAATACTACTGGTGAACAGAAAGGTGAATCACTTTCCCTAATGACATTATTTTCTAATAAATTAGCAAGAATTTCATCCAATGACTTTTTCTCTGCATAAGATAGTCTACGTGGTCTGATACTAAAAGGTTCATTTTTAGTTAAAGTAAGCTGTGCTTTGAAATCACACTGTGGTTTTAATGGTTTATCATAATCAAAGTAATATGACTTCAATAAAGTTTGAACACTAGTAGTTATTTCAAAAGGTAAACAATAATTAATATTCAAGTCTGCATCTAAATTTACCATATCGTTAATAAACAAAACATCTGTAAAAGGAAACTGATAGTCCTCCTCTGTTTGTACACAAGAGTTTTTATTTATTTTAAAAGAACCATTTGAAAAACTTATATTTTCTATGGATTCATTGTTTATAAAATCTCGATCCAAAAGTAGATTCCAACTAAAAGAATCTTTCTCAACAACATAAAATTTTAAATTTACTGATATGTCATCAAAAATAACTGTGTCATAAAAAAACCCTAACACTTTTAAAGGAGATTTATTTATACCTGAATAAGATTCAAGATTAGTAGAAGAAATAATATCTTCTGCCTTTACAAAATTTTCTGATATCAATGATATTGGACTCCCTGTATCTATTATACCATTTAATGTTATGCTATACTTATCTAGAACCAGGTTTAATACAAAAGGATCCGTTTGGCTCATAGGACGTTCCACTAGACCCATGGCTCCATTACTATCTCGGGTAGTTGAATCTGCAACTTGTTGCACCACTTGCTGGTTTCTATTAGGACAGTCTCTTACCATATGATCTTTGCTTCCACATCTAAAACATGATCCCCTATCACGCTTGGCTTGTCTGCACTCTGTCACTTTGTGTCCGGTACGACCACAATTAAAGCATTTTACAGGAACTGGCATCCGACCCTGTGTTGCTGTATGAGGTTGGTTCTGGCTAGAACTTACCCTATAACTTGATGCTGTAGCAAACCTTTGTCCACTTCCTGATACCTCATCTTTAACAACACTCCCCATTAACTTATATAAATCTTCAGTGCTATTGAGTGTGGATAACATCATTTTGGCTTGATTTTGAAGTAGGCGATCATCAAACCCATCAATCAGATAATGTATCATATCTTCATCCTCAACTCCTGCTTCGTTGCCCAGTAACAGTTTGTCATGGAAATATGCTGAAAAGCTTTCACTCTTTTTCCACCTTCTAGTCTCCATCTTTCTTCTCGACGACACTGGATCATAAGTTCTCCCATACATTCTCCTAATTTCATTTTTTAAACCTGTCCAATCTGTGGAAATTAAATTTGGTTTGCTGAGGTACCATTCCTTCGCTTTTCCGGTCAATTTTCCAATGACTAACAGTTGTAAAATATCAGTTGGAACATTATACACAGTTTTGATTTTTTCTATTCTTTCTAACCATATTGCAACATTCTGGCTTTTGTCTGTGCCTGAAAATTCCGGCATTAAATTTGATAATTCACTGTTAGTAATTTTTATGGGGTTATGTGTCGGCATCTGATTTTCTGGACCGGCAATTTTCTTTTTCTCTTCATAATCGAGGATTGCCTGTACCGCTGTATGAACAATTTCAGCTATACTCGCCTGAGCGACGGTGTTTCCACTTGTATTTTCAATTTCGGTGTCTGATCCCGGCATGGCTATCGTCAATACTAAACACAATTTTTAAATCTGCAAAAATATCGGCGATCCCCGTAATCCCACTTCTGATTCTGTAGGCTCCGTTAATAAATAATATTGTTCTAGTTTTCTTAAGTTTATTTAGCGGAAAGAAACACTAATTGTACATAATTCGACATAATAGTTTTCATAACATTCAGATGGCCATAATTCATAATCACAAGTGTCAAGTCTAAACATAAAGTGTGTGGTTATCTTCTTTTTTTTTTTCAAATTGAGTGACAATCAGATCTGTCAATGGCGCGAAATTCAAATAAGACTACAATATATATATATATATATATATATTATATATATATATATATATATATATATATATATATATATATATATATATATATATAAGAAATTGAATCTTTGCAGATAAGATAAGTTAAATAGTAAACTCTTAAATATTGGGAAAATCTGCAAGAAAGACTCTAATGAGTATCAATTGTTTCGCCGAACGTTTTCGCCAAAGAGAATTAATTTGGCTTCTTCAGGGCTGAAAGAGAAGAAATTATAATTAGCTACCATATATTATCTATTAAAAGACACTGGTGATCTTACCGTAACTTAGAATTGTAGAGTTAGAATGTTAAAAAACTTAGCTAGTAACAACATAGTAGTTTTTTTGTTACTATGTGAAAAAAATGTTTTTTTACTGTTGGTAATGTATGGTAGCTTTGAACTTCAAACGCAAAGGTGTACCCAAGGTTAATTAAAAAACCCAATGTAACTATATTTAAAAGGAAGTCATTCTTTGAATTGTCGGCAATAACTAAATTTTTGAATGTTTGAAAATTTAAATGAGAGGTTCTGTTTTATCAGAACGCGTGCGCTGACAATTTAAAGTAGGACTTATGAATCTTTATGTCGTTAAGGTTTATTGGTAAAACAGAATGAAGTTAAATCCCAGTTTAGGGAATTATTATTATTTTAGATTTTCTTAATTAAAATTTTTTTTTTATTGTATTATATTGTTCATGTATTATTATTATAATATCTTATTGAGATGTATCTAAGAAAAGCAAGGGAATGTTATCTTTTTTAATTAATGAAAATTATTATTAAAGTAGGTTGGTTGTTAATGGATATATCAGTCAAGTTAGTTGCAATACATCACAGATAACTGAGATAAGGTATGCTTATTTACAAAATTGTTAATGGGTAAATTCTTATTTTTATTAATATAATATAATAACCAACATTAGCCGTGAGAGTTTAATTGTTTTTTGCTAAATATATTAGTGTTAAAACGTTATTATTACTAATATTAATTTTAATGAATTAACACCTCAGGAACGCCTATGATGATACAAATTTTACGACCGTTTTATGACTTTGAGGCACATTTTATGCCATCAACAATTTGTGAACGGATAATAGCTAAGTTTTTTAACATTCTAACTCTACAATTCTAAGTTACGGTAAGATCACCAGTGTAATAGATAATATATGGTAGCTAATTATAATTTCTTCTCTTTCAGCCCTGAAGAAGCCAAATTAATTCTCTTTGGCGAAAACATTGGGCGAAACAATTGATACTCATTAGAGTCTTTCTTGCAGATTTCCCCAATATTTAAGAGTTTACTATATATATTTGTGTGTACACACGTCTTTACCTGTATATTTGTGGTATCACTTGTGTAGTAATACTGTTTTTCTAGTTATTCCAACAGGCAAGATAAAAATAGTATATAACTTTTATGATTATTTATATGTCCAACTTAAGAAGTAGTGTATATTATGTTTTTAATATATTTTTCAGGATATTCAAAACATTACGATTCCATCAACATTTCTGAGTACCGTTTCAAGATCTGTATCTTTTCCACATAATAGCAGTATGCCACCACCACAGTTTATTGGTAATAGTCCAAATTGTACCACACATCTAACTAAAAAGCAGTCTGTGGTTCATCTGGCTATGTGGATACATCTTTTTGGAATTGTTTTCATATTAGCCATGTTCTGGACAGATTTTTTTCCAGAGGTTGGAAAAGTAAGTAGATTATTTATCTCTTTACGAAAATTATTTTTGGGTATAATTTCAAATTTATTTTTTTTTATATGCGATGGTTCATTAAAGGAATACAAAATGGGAAAATATACGACGGACAATTATATATAAGAATTGAGATGCCGTATATATATATATATATATTATATATATATATATATATATATATATATACATACATACATATAAATAAATAAACGGTGAAAGGAGTACATTTCGTCAAATCTTCCGTGTATTAATTGGAGTCAATAGACTTTTATAACGTTATTTTTGTATGCCCTACGTCTTCAGACATACATAAAGAAATTCGTGTACCTCCGAGCACTAAGCATCGTGGGGCTCCACCCTCCCCGTAGTACCTGTGTTGCGTTACGAACTCCCGTTCATTGTCCTCCGGGGTGGAAACCTAAGCACAGCTGGTAGAGGAACTCAACCTCACACGCAGACAGGTGGCCACTGAGGAAATCTCCTCTTCCAATTGTGGGTACGTGCCGCAATCTTACGCCCTTAATGGGAAAAGGACATATAAGGGTCGCAGCTAGTTCAACCTCACTTTGGTTATGTGAAATGAAAGTAGAGTGGTCCCACGAGAAACTCAATGTTGTTACTTATAAAAAAGAAATAACACAAAGTAACATAAAACTAAAATAATAATTTAAACTAAAAACTATGAAAATTTATTAAGTAACCCTAATAGTTTGGCCACCTACTCCACATACATACAGAAAAGCATAAAATTATTAAATATATAATATAAAATAAATGATAGTTACCGCAGTATTTATCTGCAAAATATTGTTTTAAATAAAAAAGAATAATATAAATGTTTAGTGAGCAACAAACACTTAAAAGATATTAAGTAGATAGCTCTGTTAGATTATTGATTATACTAAAATTGACACTATCAGTTTTTTCCATCAGAAAATAGTTCAATATTTTTGTGCTAAGATAAAATTTGATTTAATTTCAGGGAGAAAATGCCAGTGACTTTTGGAACCATACCATCAGTGGTATTGCTTGCCATTTCCAGAAACCATTACCTCCCAACATGGGACAATTCCCGTGTGGTAACGTATTTATATTCTCATGGTTGTTCATGTGTTCCTATGTATTGTTCGTAGTGATGTCTATTAAATTTTTGATATTAACTCAGTCTGCAGTTTATACTATTGCTTCTATGTCGACGTCACTACCTCTAGTTGGAATTTGGTGGTCGCTTTTCCATGTCTCGCCACATACCATTGGTAAGTATATTTTACATATAGTTTTTACATAATGTATCATTTGCTTTCCTTTCTTGCCTGTCCAAGGAGAGAATAAATGTTGTTCTACGGCCACGTATACAACAGGAATAATAAAAATTCGTAACCAAAATCATCGAAGATGGCTTTCAATTTGATCTTTTCTTGATGACCAAGAATATCACCAAAAAATATCTGATCTGTTATATAAAAATTCACATCCTGTCAAAAATGGAAATAAATTTTTTTCTTTGCGAACTCAATGAATATACAGTGCGCGTCTAAAGTCCACTTCACCCACTATTTTATGAACCATAAAACTTAAATTAATACAGTTTGGAAAACTAAACTAAGGCACCCTTATATTATTTTTGTTACATTTTAGTGACGTAAAAATCTTTAAGGACGAATAGTATTTAAATTCTTTATCGAAGACTGAAAGAGTTTCTGAAAATTATATTACTGAAATAGATAAGATTTAATAATTTTAGACTAAGTAAAAAGCTCGCATAACTAATACAGCTTTCGGAGCATAGACTGAAGAATACCATAAATAGACTAAGGAACGATAAACTACGGTTTTTACCTTTTACCTAAACTAACCTTAGCCTTACCTAACCTGACGGTTAAGAGTTAAGGGTACATAAATACAATAGTAATACAATTTTGGGGTAACGCATTTACAGCTTGGTAAAATTCATATTGTTCCTGAGATCTGAAAACAAAAAACTAAATACATGGCGTGAGTACCTCATGTACTCTCGGCGGAAAAATTTTACTCAAGGTAATACTTAAAAATGAAATCCTAGCATTATTTAAAAAACATATCTGGAATATAAACTGCATCAAACCTATCCGACCTTAGTTCATAACTGTTAAACGTTCCAGCGTCCTCTGTAGAGTACGACCGGAATCAGTCTTCTCGTCATAAATTTCATGTATACCAGTTATCAACGGGAAGTGCCTACTTGATAACAGCATACTTTCGTTTACATTGCCTTTTTGTGTTCGTCACATTTTGTTTTGGACCGAAAGTGCGAACAACTAATTTGCATTAAGTTTTGATTTATATTCAAAAAAGTTATGCGAAAACTATGCACATGCGTGCAAACGTTTAAAAGTTAAAGTAGAGGACGATGTTGAAGAAAATATATTCACATATCTATCTAGAAGTTGGATTACATACAAAGTGAAGATATGGAGTCTGTTTTGGATAAAAGGAGGTCGCTGGTTAAATGATATTAGATAAATAATTATAAAGAAAAAATGTACTATTTTGTTTGTAAATAAATTAGCGGAAAATGGCAACTATCAATTGTGAATAAATTACGAAATTAATTGGTCTTACTCATTATTGTTGTCTCTACAAAGATTATAGACTTACCCCTTGAAATATTGATGTAAGATTCTTAGCCAGGGGAATCTCATTGGCACCACGTCGGAACGCCCGCCCGGTCTCGATGGGACGAGAACCGTTCAAACTAGATGTGTTTTGCTCACTGTCTTGTGTTGAAGTGTATATTGAAGTAGATATCTTAAGATCTTTACTAGGGCAAAAACCAGGGTGGTCAACAGCTCGTGGACAAGAGCATGCCATAAATCAAACCTATTGTCGGACGATCTTGAATGGGGGTAATTTAACTTAATTGTCACGGTAATACGAAACCTTACACTTGTTTCTATCTTTGTGACACAAAATTCAAAGGAGAAAGCCAAATTCTCCGTACTTAAAACATAAATGAGATAGCCAGTACAATTTTATGAAATAACAGGAAGTAATATATTTTAACCAAGTCGTTAGAATACAGCATTGAATTAGATCACATTACAGTACAGTAACAGAAAAATATGAAATGAAAAAATATGAAAAGAATTCGTACATACTTTTCAAGAGTCAAAATTTAAAAAAGAATAATGAAGGGCAACAAAGCTTACTTCCCGCTAACTGACATATTCGTTTCTAAAATCGTCCATCAGAAATCGAAGATTAAGGTCTATAAACCATATTATATCACTATTATGTTATCATCAAATTTAACAAAAGTCAATCAAATTTAACAAAAGTCAAAAGTAACAAATTCATGATTTTAACAAAAGTCGTCGTTAGATACGTGTAAACGTGTATCAACGAATGTCACGGAAAAATTCTTTGTTCTGTGGTCTATATAGTGCATCAATTTTCGCTACAAATTTTCTGCTACAAATAATTATGGATTATTATAATACATTGCTAAATAGTGTAACGAAAAAGCTAATTTCCAAGTATCCCATATTATTATAACATTTGTGGCACCTCAGCGGAATCATGATGCATATGTCAGACCAGAATCTTCGAGATGTGACGATTGAGGTACGGAGAAGCGAGGTGTTCATAATAGCGGCTAATAGAGATGGACTACACCAGATATTTCTAGAAATAATATATTCGGCATATAAACGGAATGCTAACTAACTAAGTAAGTTAGTTGATAGGATAATATCGTGCTGTAAGCTTATAAATAAATTAGAACTGCTCGTTTTATTTTAAACACACTATAATACTTATTTTATTCAAATTTTAGGTCTTTTAGTTTGGTCTCCTTCGATTACTGGTGAACTAATTTGTGGACTTTTGGGATTGCCTATTATCCTCGTTGGGCTCTTCTTACTATACAAAGCTCATTTGAAGGATTACCAATTTTCAAGACATAACAGCCGATATGTAGGTACAAACAATAATTTTGCCTGAAGGATTTGAAACACTACGAATTTCCTCTCAGTTGAAATTAATTGATTAGTTTCCTTAAGTGTGTGTTATTAGTCGGTATTAATCATAATTACCTGGAAAAATTATATTATTATTTAAAGTAGATACACGCATAACAATTTTGATGTCGTTTGTACACATACGACATGAAGAATATTAAGAATAATTATAATTACATTTTATATTATATTATATATATATATATATATATATATATATATATATTATATATATATATATATATATATATAATATTGATATTAAGAAAGATACATGGTATTAAAGTGGAAATTTAAAATTCTATTTTTCGCTATAACGTTTACGTTTGTAAATATTTATGGACAAAAATTTACAATTGGATGCTTTTGAGTAGGAGCAATTATAAATTGATGCATAATTTGATGTAGCTGATAGAAGGCGCCACATATTGCCACATATGTGGCATACATTTGCGCCTAATTTTTTTTTTCGATTTAAGTTAGCCCTATTTTTATTAAAAAATATTAAAGACACATTATTTTTACAAAGAAAAGGTATACTTGTTCAAAATTCAACCGTTTTCGAGATAATCGCATTTTATAAGTCAGCTGCATAATCATTCTTAGTTGTGATAATTTTGCGGTAAAGCACTGAATACCTGTGAATAAGCATAATTATTAATTTGTTCTTATTAAAACAACTCAAATATGATAATGTAATATCCTGAAATGCTTTGTTATTGTTGCTAAATGTCTTATTGGAGAGAAGCTTCTATCTTCTTCTTTAGAAGTTGGCCGTCATCATGTTTACAATTTCCTTTATATATCGCTCTTATAAGTTTCTATGCTGGCGTTGTACTACTTTTTCTTTATTGTAAAATCCTGAGGTGAGCGTCACGGAAGAAGCGCAACGAGACGGCGTCACGAGCGCTACGTGACGCCGTAGCGCTCACGCTATGGCGTCACATACGCCATACGATTTATTGACAACTAACGTTAAAGTTATCAATAAATCCCTTTTAAACTATAATCAAATTGCATTTTTAAACGTCTTACTTATTTTATATAATAATTAAAATTTACTATCAAATTAATGATCGAATATCAAATTTATATTTCAATAATAACTTAATATATTAAGTTTCACTTTGACGGGTCTGTATTTTGTTGATACGTTAGCAGGTGGCGCTACTAGCAAACTTAATTTATTGAATTATTTTATTATAATATAATTTGTTTAACATATAAATAATAAATAAATAATAAAGTTACTTTATTAAATGTTAAAAATATTATTTAAAAAATATAAAAAACATGATATGAAGCTAAGTGCTAGTCTACAGTGTCAGCTATTGTACCTATCACGTTTTTTTTGAAGGCAGTTTTGATGCCAGTAGACATCCCCAATGCATTACGGGAAATTTTATAGGAGGCTGATGTCACGAATGCTTTTGACAACTAAAAATAAGTCTTGTTTTGTTTAATAATTGATTTTTGCAATATCTAGTCTATTTTCGTTTCTTAAAGAAAAGCAGAAAATGCCAAGGCATATTAATTTTTCTAATATGGAAATGAGAGATATTGTTGCTATTTATTGTCAGCAACACTTTAACGGGCAAGCAGCGAAAAGGGAATATTTAAGAAGATACACAAACAGGCTGCAAACCAATCTTTAAACATTTAAACATCTATTTCGAAATTTAGGCGAAAGCGGTTCATTTCATCCTAAACGTGACAACTTAGGTCGACCAAAAATCATTACGCCTGATGAAAAAGATTAAGTAATGGTTCACGTTGACGATAATTCTGAAGTAAGTACACGATGTTTATCTTCAGCGTTAGGAATCAGCAAAACTTCAGTTTTAAAAATCCTGCACCGTGAGCACTTTCACCCTTACCATTTTACACCTGTGCAAAATCTATTACTAGCAGATTTACCTTTAAGACGCAGAGTTGCAAATGATATCCGAAATAGGCAAAATCTTGACAACTCGTCGATAGAATATTATTAACGGACGAAGCTACATTCACACGCCATGGTGTTTTTAATTTAAGGAACAATCATTTCTGGGATACTAAAAATCCACACGTTAAGACAGAAAGGCATTTCCAACATGAATTTAAAATAAACGTATGGTGTGGAATCATTGGTAATCATTTTTTAGGGCCACGCGAGTTATCTTGTAATTTGAATGGTGTGAACTATTTACAATTTTTACAAAATGAGTTTACTGATTTGTTGGATGAATTGACATTATACTTAAGGCAAAATATGTGGTTTATGCAAGATGGTGCACCACCACATTATACAAGGGCAGTGAAAACATACTTGAATACCAACTTTCCGGAACGTTGGATTGGTCGTAGTAGTCATTTTCCTTGGCCACCACGTAGCCCAGAATTTAATCCGCTAGATTTTGGTGTATGGAGCGCAATAAAACAACGTGTCTACAAGAATCCCATATACACTCGCAACCAAAGTTGGGAAGAAATAAATACTTCAGCAGTTTCTATTGAACAGATTCTATTTAATATGAGACGATATTTTATGGAACGGGTTGATAAATGTATTGAGGAAAATGGTGGACCTATCGGACACTTACTTACTTTGACAAACAGTTTAATATTATTTAGTTTAACTATTTCTTAATTTGGTATGAAAAATAAAATGTTTATGACTTTAATTTAATATAAAACGTAAAATGTTTGATGTCAAATCCAATTATCCTATTATTTTGTCAAACCATATTATTAATTATCCTGTTGATATATTTATTTTATTTAAAATTTCGTTAGGTATTAACTTTATTAAAGATATTTCACACCAAAATCCAAAGGTATTAATGTTTTTATCTATTTTTCTTTCGTTATCTGGAGTAATTGCGGCAAATCAGAATTATGGAGTTGATTTGTAAAATGCGATTATCTCGAACACTATTGAGTTTTAAAGTTATTCACAAGTATACTTTTTTTATGTTAAAATAATGTATCTTTAATATTTTTTATCAAAAATATCGATAACTTAAAAAGCCAAAAAGTTAGGTGCAAATTTATGCCACATATGTGGTATATGTGGCGCCCTCTATCAGCTACATCGAAGTGTGCGTTAAATTATAATTTCTTATATTAATTAGTACCCAGTTGTAAACTTTTATACATAAGTGTTAACAAACATAAAAGTTATAGCGAAAAATCAAATTTTAAATTTCCACTTTAACACCCTGTATCTTTCTTAATATCAACATTTTACTTAAGCAAGTTGACTTAAATCGTAATATTTTAAAGTGCAGAATCTTCGGTTTTTTTTGTACAATTACTTAAGGACCACCCTGTACCTATATATATATATATATATATATATAATATATATATATATATATATATATATATATATATTATATATACAGATTGAACGAAATAAATTCGGAACATAGGAATATAATGTATTTCGGCTCAATTCTGCTGTAGGTGGTTGGCCAACAAAATATTGTCAAATAATTATATTATAAAAATCCAATACTTCAGAGGGCTGCTGGATTCTGAACTCATAAAAATTGAAAGCTACACATAAATCTACGATTTATGCTGTCAAACCAGTTATAGTCCAGGAAATGAAGCATTTCACCTCGCAATTTTTTCGTGCTCCCTGGATTGACTTGAAATTTAACAGAAGGTAGGTCTAGAATAGCCTAAGGATCAAAATCTATATCGAACCAAAGTGCGCCAAAGCCTAGGGGGTGGTTGCCACCCCATCTCCGGGGTGAAATTTTTTTTACGTTTTAACTACAGGTTTCGATTAAAAAAGTGATTCTAAACAAAAAATGTGCTATACATTTTTTTTATAAAATGATATTTCTTTTTAGACTTTCTTTATTGTAATAACTTTTAGACGAAAAAATCCACGTTTTTAATCGATTTTTCGCGAATAATTCGAAAATGGTGCATTTTATCAAAAAAATTGTAGAGAACAAATTTGAAGCTTTTTAAAAGACAAATACAATTCATTTTTTAAAATGTTTTTGGGATATAATAGGAACCGAAATACGGCCTATCAATGTTCAGCGGTTTTCTTCAAATGCCAAATTTGAAAGATTCAAAATCAAATATCGGGAAAATGATGCATTTTTGGAAGAAACTCGCAAAACCTTTTTTAAAGAGCATAAATAGACCTATCATAAAAAAGACTCTAGCTTAAAAATTGAGTGAGTTATGATAAAAATAAGGTCAATACCTCATTTTTTACGAAAAAATCGATGAAAACAACCCTTAACCACCCCCATAATTAAAATCGATCTTCACCCTTCTGAAATTCCCTTTGTACATGTATTGTTAATACGTCCAAGAAGTTTGACCCATTTAAAATGCTTTGTGTTAGAAAAAGTACAGCTTAAAGCGAGAAACGATTTACAACTTCATATTTTTTACCCTTCTTTTTTTAAATATGCCCGAAAATACTGAATATATGAAAAAAATACAAATTACCAAATTGTAGCTTTTTTAGTGACTAAAATTATCCTTCATTTAGATTTGTTGTACAATGAATATTTGGCGAGATATAGCCGTTTTAAAGCATCGATTTACGATCAAGCACCATCTTTTTCGAGCCCTTTAAACTTACCCCATTTAAAAACCAAGGGTTTCAAAAATATTTAATTCACAGATTCTTGTAGCTCTTAAAAAGCTCTAAAAATCGTTTTTGAAGAAACACTCTATCGTTAAAAATTAAAGGAAATACGTTAAAAAAAACCAGTGAATTTTTTCCGGAAAATTCTATTAGTATAGTACAGTACATTTCGGAGCATAATAATCTACAAAACCGGTATATTAGCTAGTGGGGCGTTATACATTCGAAATTTTAAGCGTTCTTATTTTGAAATCCCATACAACAGAATAAAACATCTGCTCATATGTCTATGGCTTGGCAATGAAAATATTAGAGCAACAGATTGGGGATGGTATTCCAAAGATGGTTTGTTATTAC